ACATAAACAGAAAATACAAAAACTTTATACACTCAAAAAGGAGGGAAGGGGAAGGTCCTCAGCAAGCAAATGTACATTACAGGAAGTGTTAACCAGATGGTTGAAACTTACATACAGCCAGTGGCAACTCGTCATTAGGGGCAGGTGCCACAGCCTGCCACATACTGTCAGCAGAAATTAATACAAATTATAATTCGAAAAATATGTATGAAATATGTTAAAATATATTTTAAGATCATGTTTAGTCGTCTGATTCGTCTCTACATTGCTGTTTTTGTCTGCGTTCTTCTGATTAGTGTCTACAATGTGCCTATTGAGCCGTGTTGAGCGAGGTGGGGCAAGCTCCGATCTGCCCCTCTGTCTCGCTGTCAAAATGAATGGGTGCTGTAAAAACTACACTGCGCATGCTCAGAGTCTTTTTGTATTCAATGTGTGCGGCAAGAAAATAATCACAAGTGGGGCAAAGTGCTGGCAACCCCACCGAAACGTCATCTCATATCATCATAATCATCTCTCACATCAAGAGCTCCAGGAGCCTCCACATCATGTGTCTGATCCCAGTCTTGGGATCACTGCTGCAGTTCTGGACCACATGTTGACTACAGACCAGAGAGAAGAGCTGCCCCAGACCCTCACTGACATGTACTCACACTTCCTGCTGGTCCAGACCAAGAGGAAGAAGCAGAAGTATGGTGAGGGACATGAGACGAGTCCACAGCAGCTGACGGAGGCTGACAGGGAGCTTCTTCTGAAGCTGGGGAGGCTGGCGTTTGAACATCTGGAGAAAGGAGACATCATGTTCTACCAAGAAGACCTGCAGCGCTGTGGTCTTGGTGTCACCGAGGCCTTGGTGCACTCAGGAGTTTGTACAGAGATCTTCAAAAGAGAGAGAGTGATCTTCCAGAAAACAGTCTACTGCTTTGTTCATCTGAGCATTCAGGAGTTTCTGGCTGCAGTCTACATGTTGCACTGTTACACCAACAGGAACACAGAGGTACTGAAGGACTACCTGCAGAAAGACTTTAACAACATCAGAGATCAGGAGTACCCATCCCTGGATGTCTTCCTAAAGAGAGCCATGGAGAAATCCCTCAGAAGTAAAAATGGCCACCTGGACCTGTTTGTCCGCTTTCTCCACGGCCTCTCTCTGGAGTCCAACCAGAGACTCTTAGAAGGCCTGCTGGGTCGCACAGACAACAGACCAGAAACCATCCAGAGAGCCATCAGCAACCTGAAGGAGATGAACAGTTATAAAATCTCTCCTGACAGGATGATCAACATCTTCCACTGTCTGACAGAGATGAAGGACCACTCAGTACATCAGGAGATCACAGAGTTCCTGAAGTCAGAGGACAGATCAGAGGAGAGACTCTCTGAGATCCACTGCTCTGCTCTGGCCTACATGCTGCAGATGTCAGAGGAGGTTCTGGATGAGTTTGACCTGACAAAGTACAAAACATCACAGGAGGGACGACGGAGACTGATTCCAGCTGTGAGGAACTGCAGGAAGGCCAAGTAAGTCCAGATGTGATTCACTTTATAAACTAATGTGGATCAGGAGTTTAATTATTCAAATGAACACTATAACATTTCTGCTGTTTAAATACTGAGAGAGCAAAATAAACCAACACTGTTCTTCTATATATTTATAATAAAAGTTAAACTGAAGCGTTTCTCTCTTCATATTGAGTGATGGAGGCGACATGTCAAACACATGAAGGACTCTAGAGGTTTCTCAGCATGTGATCACACCACACAGCAGGACTTACAGTTATCAGTTATTATTACTTTCTAGTAGTTTCTTTATCATTAAACACACACACGTTTTTATCACAATGTGTTAGAGTTTAAAATCAGATCTATATCATATCCCACCAATACCAGAGTTATGTCTTAATGCTCATATAGTGAGAACATCTGATGGTATTCAGTTTAAAATATTGAAACTTTATTGGTTTGTTAACTGTGTTTGTGTGCACAATACATTTCCAGATGCTCAGAGAAACCAAAACATCCATCATTCACATCTAAATATTAATTAACATTTAAATATGTACATCTCTAATATTGTCAAGTGATTTATTTAATTTCTGTTTCTTTGGTAACAGTCAGTGACAGCAGGAGCACAGACCTGTGATCAGATCACACTGACAACACATTCAACTCTATTATTATATATTATATGAAATGGACTAACAGCAAATCTCAATCAGAACATATGTCAAATATGTTTTTCATCAAATGTTTGAGGTCATTATGTTTCCTCTTTTTTTAACACATGTTGTAATATATGTTTTATTATAGACTTTCTTACTGTGGACTCTCAAAGAGACTCACTGTGAAGTCGTGGTCTCAGCTCTGAAGTCTGACCCCTCCCATCTGAGAGATCTGGACCTGAGTCAGAACTACTCTCTGGAGGATTCAGTTCTGGACTAAAGAGTCCAAACTGCAGACTGGAGGCTCTCAGGTCAGTTCACTGACTGAACTTCATCTGTTTGTGTTTATGATTTTCTGAATTTGAAAGAAATACAAATACGTTTTTTTTTCCACTTTTGCTAATGACTGAATATTGATCAGAATAACAAAGAGAAGATGAATGTGTGAGGGAGAGTGTTTGAGCTTCCACAGACTCACTCTGTGCTCCATGAGTCAGTGGAGATGCTGCCAGTACTGATGAGCTGTGAGGGAGATGAAGGAGTTGTTAAACATCTGATCAAAGTTAAAGTTCCAGATTTTCAATGGATTGTTTCTGCATCATCACTGAGATTAAAGGTCTCCTATCATGCAAAAGTCACTTTCTGATGTCTTTTCTACATCACCATGTGTCCCCTATGTGTCCCCGGTGTGTCCCCGGTGTCAGGAGACTCACAAAGTGTCAGGAAACAAAACCCTCTCTCTTTTCCTCCGTACCCACATCTCTAAAAACGGGGGAACAACGGTGCTGATCCAGATTTGCTGCGTCATGACGGCATTACTAAATTGTGGGCGGGCTTTACACCAATGGGCCAATCAGAAGCAATGAGACGTGTTCTGGAAGTAATATGGTCTGTGTTTACATTAGCATGCTAACACTCAGAGCTAACCTGTACTGGAGAGCATGTGTGTGAAGAAGCAGGAAATCAAAAGGAACTCACCTTGTGGTAAACCTGAGAAAGAGTTTGAGCTCCATGCTGTTTCAGAGAGAATCCTTGATGTGGTTTGGAACATGATATGGAGTTTAATCACGGCAGCATTTAGCTGAGTTTCTGCTGGTAGAATTCTGATCAGGCATTAGCTCCACCTCCTTTTTTTTTTTTCAAGCTAAGGACCCGAACCTGCCCTTCTCTAACAGCTGGAACAGAGGGATGTGTGGAATTTCTAAAATGCATGATCTGTTTGGTATTTTGAGCAAAACACATCATAGACATGTTTTTATATATTTGTGTAAATCTGAGACCCATAATATATACCTAAAGATAGCAGATAGGAGACCTTTAAAACCCTGTTTAACTCTGAACAGATTATTAAACCTGGAGTTATTTCCAACAGGAACTTTGTTTTCTAAAGTTACATCATGTTTTCTTTATTCAGGCTGTGGGGCTGCATGTTGTCAGAGATCAGCTGTTCTGCTCTGATCTCAGCTCTGAAGTCCAACCCCTCCCATCTGAGATATCTGAACCTGGGTGCCAACGCTCTGCAGGATTCAGGAGTGGAGCTGCTGAGAGATCTTCTGGAGAGTCCAGACTGCAGACTGGAGACTCTCGAGTCAGTTCACTGACTCTCTGTTACTGCTGGAGATCTCATGTTTCATTAGTTATTCAACCTGATTCTTCTACATAATTAACTTAACTTAGACTGAGGAACTGCAGTTTGTCAGAGATCAGCTGTTCTGCTCTGGCCTCAGCTCTGAAGTCCAACATCCATCTGAGAGATCTGGACCTGAGGAACAACTATCTGAAGGATTCAGGAGTGGAGCTGCTGAGAGATCTTCTGGAGAGTCCAGACTGCAGACTGGAGACTCTCAGGTCAGTAAGGGGTCTCTGCTGGTTCAGCAGTATTGTATTAAACACAGGGAGGTGTTTCTCTCACTAGGGAATCACAACAGATCAGTGATGTTACCCACTGACTGCAGGCTCTTTCATTCTTCCATCAACTATAGAAGGCCAGCTGAACATGCAAAGCCACACTTTAGTAATCAACTCTCTAACAGACATATGGGGTTTTACAGAAGAGTGGGAAAGGTGGTCTGTTCTTATGGGATGTTTTTAGTTTCTAGCCCAGGGGTGTCCAAACTGCGGCCCGGGGGCCAAATGCGGCCCTCGGAATCGGCCCTCAGCAAATTCTGAAAGTATAATGGAATATGGCCCACAAAGGAAACTTCTGCTTGTCTTATATTGTACTTCTTAAATATATATGTACACATATATTACACAGTAGTATTCATGTGTTAATAAGCCCACCTTTAAAATAAATTCAGTCAATTAAAGCTGAAAACATTTTCTAACAAATCTAACTTGATAAGAAAAAAGCCCAATAACTTATTGTTATAACAAGCGTGAAATAAACCCTTCATATTTCCTGTAATTATAATCAATCTGAAGCTCCTGTTTAAAGGAATGAGCTGCTGACAGAATAAAGGAAACCCTCTGGAAAGATGTGAGCTGTTTTGTTTCTTAAAGCATCTTCAAGTAACAAGCATCCTTTACCTTCATTTGATTGAGTTTCCTGACTTATAACTGAACTTATGAGGCAACATACCTCTAGAGAGCGGCCCAGACCTTTATATATTTTTCTGTATGTGGCCCTCGGTGAAAAAGGTTTGGACCCCCCTGTTCTAGACCAATGAGTGGTTACTTCCTGTAATGCAGCTGAGAGCTGTGGCAGGCAGTCGTAGTGTTTGCAGAGAAGATATGATGGGATGTAAAGCATGAGATCAGGACTCTGAAGCTGACTCAAAGAATACTTTACTTTTACACTTATTTTAAACTGGATCTTAAACTGTTGGATTTTGTTCATCCCTACAGGATCAGAGATGATGAGATGATCAGAGCCACGATCCAGAAGACCAGTGAGTACTGAAACCATATCCTCCATTCATCAAGATATGAAACTCTTTAATGGAGCGTGACCTCAGAGGAAAACAACACTCTTGTTTCTCTCTTCATCATTCTGGCTGTTTCTCTTTGTTTAATTATCATCATTATTCTCTCTCTCTCTCCTTCTCCTCTCAGGTGACAGGAAGTGAAGACACACAGAAAGGTGAGAGTTCGTACCGTGTGAAGTTTATTTATTGAGGTTTCAACACGTATTTCTGGTGTTCCAGACAAATCTGTAAGCTCAGGTTTTATTTGTTCTCAGTTTATTCATCACGGGGCGAGTTTGAGACGTAAAGAGGAGCGTGGAGGCATTTTGGAAAATAAAGAAGAAGGCTGCAGCTGATGAGAGACTTCCTGTTGGCTCTTCTCAATATTAAATGAACAAAAACAATCAATTGTACTTAAAGCTTTTCTTAAGAAGAAATATGTGTTGCACATACACCTGCTGCTACCTACCACCACCTCCCACCCATCCCGGCACCAAAGAGGAGACTCCATCGACCCCAGATACCCCAACTCACTCTTCTTCAGGTTAGCTTGGAGCCCCGCCTTTACCTGCCCCAACACCTCACTTTGAACGATGTAGTCATCCGGATATCTGCATACTGAGAGTGGGACGCAGGACCCGGTCAATGAGCTGCTGGAAGGGGGTCCACTGGACTGGAGGGGCGCTTGGATCTGGTGATGCCTTGCTCTTTCTGAAAGGGGAGGACACCTATCTGCTATAGTTTTTCCAGTTGGGGTGAAGAGACTCTGGGGGGCATCCGATGGCTCCTGAATAGGGGGGGCCCTTGGAGTGTCCAACCTAATGATGATGATAATAATAATAATAATGATGCATTTTATTTGTAAAGCACCTTTCATTGCTAAAAGTCATCTCAAAGTGCTACAAGGGGCATCATATACTTTTTTTTTTTTTTTTTAAAGAATCACAAGTTTAATAAAAAGCTTTAAAAGAATAAAGGTTTTTAAACCTCTTAAATGTGTTAGGCTGTGAATGTTAGAACCTTCGATCTACGAGGAGATCCCTCTGGGTTCTGTCGGAATTCAAACTGATCATTCTGAGGAGCAAAACCTCTTAAATGTGTCAGGCTATAGGCTGTGAATGTTAGCACCTTCGATCCACGAGGAGATCCCTCTGGGTTATGTCGGAATTCAAACTGATCATTCTGAGGAGCAAAACCTCTTAAATGTGTCAGGCTATAGGCTGTGAATGTTAGCACCTTCGATCCACGAGGAGATCCCTCTGGGTTATGTCGGAATTTAATCTGAACATTCTGAGGAACTGACCTCTTACATGTGTCAGGCCATAGTGTGTGGATGTTAACCCCGTTGATCTGTGAGGAAATTCCTTTTGGATTTTGTCGGGAGACTTTAATGTGTGAACTATGAATTAAGGTTTTAGATTAGAAAATAACCCCAGCATGATATGTTTAGTATGATTATAATGTTGTAACGAGAGAAGGTAAAAACCCTGTATAAGTTTGGACCTATTTTTCTTCAAATAAGCTGATCCGACCTTTTGGATTGGGACAACTTAAAATACATCAGCGGTTTCCTCTCCTGCTTCAAAGGTACGATTGCACACTGCCACACTCACACTTAGTATAGGGCCACACCTCATTTACTGATATCAAAATCCTTCGGGATCGCTTAAACAGATTAAGAGGGTCGTCTGAATTGAAACAGCAGTTAATTGAACCTGGTTCTTCAGGAGTTAATAGAGGTGAGATCTTGCTGACGTTGGTGGATCTGAGCCAAGCAGCAAACTTACATAGACTCAATAACTCTGTTAGGTCAATTAGTAGGTCTGAGTAATTTGCCGGAATAAATTATCAGTCCTCCCGACTCTTATGGACCGTCTCCACAGCAGCGTTAAAAAAATCTTGAAGGTGGGCGTATCTGAGGCTTGGGGATTTTTTTGCGATCAACCAATCACATGAATCTCCCGCCCGCGACATACGAAGCAAAAAAGCCCGAAGTAAACTGGATATAAACTCCCCAAAACAGGCGAAAACATACCACTGTCTCTGCCACCTCCCTCCATGCCTGGCTCCTCCGGTTTATATCCCGGTAGGTCTGGTCATAAAGCACCGGGTGATTGATTCGCTACCGCTAATTTCTCCTCCATTTTTTGGAATATGAGGAAATGACCTGCGGTATGTCTCTCCCAGCATACACGCCGTTTGATTGGCTAGAGCTTGAACTGCCAGATTTGCGTACACGGGATTTGATTGGCTGCCGCTTCCACCTCAGCTTCAAAAGTTGAACATTGTTCAACTTTGAATCTTGAAAATCCTGAGAATCTCCGCTCGCCTGCCCACAATGCATTTCGGCGAAAAGTGAGGGAAAGTGACGTCACCCCATTCAAAGTGAATGGGCAGAAGCGTTTCAAGATTTTTTAACGCTGCTGTGGAGACGGCCCGTTACAGTGCGGAGTTTGGTCCTGGGGGGGAAAGCAGATGGTTTGTTGTAGAATGGAGGTTGCGTGTGGAGGTTTGTGAGGAGGTTTGTGAGGAGAGTAGTTCCATGAGGTATGAAGGAGCGTTCCCGTGGATGCACTGATGGGTGAGGAGTGAGATCTTGTATTTGAACCTAGCTGGAGGGCTATTGGTGCCCCCTGTGGACCGAAAGAGACTCTTTTGATTGGGGTAATGAGGTGGAAGTTATCTGCACCTATTAGTAGGAGAGGCTGCACTTTGGAAAATGAGGGAAGGCCTTGTAGGCGGAGATAGTGTTTCTTGAGTTCATCCACAGGATAACTCTAGTCCACAAGTGAAAGTCTGTCGGAGGTGAATGTGTCTTTGAGGAGGAATGTTTTCTTGGGATTGAAAGAGGGTTATATCTCAAAGGTCACTGAGGCTCCATTTCAGAATATTGTATATGATATGTTTTATAATGATTGATCATTAAAGTGTTCTCAAAGCTGGTAAAGGTGCAGCTAGTTTGAATGACTTTGTATTCTGCAGGGTAGCTTGTGAATTTACTCCAGGTGGAACTAAAGTCTGATTTAACACTTGATTATATTTCACATCATTCATCCACATCTGTGAAGTAACTAAAGGGAATTACATGTAGTGGAGTCAAAGTACACCTTTACCTCTGAATTGTAGTGGAGTAGAAGTAGTACACAGTTGCATAAAAAGAAAACTAAGCTTCATCTCCAAGCCCAATGGCCTTGGAAGAGCTGCTAAGGAAAAGGAAAGACATCCGGAGACTTTGAAGAGACAGCTAACGGACAAACTCAAGGAACTGAAAGACACTCCCTAACGGAGCGTCCACACAGCAGCGTTAAAAAAATCTTCTAACGCTTCTGCCCATTCACTTTGAATGGGGTGACGTCACTTTGCCTCACTTTTCGCCGAACTGCATTGTGGGAAGCAGAGCGGAGATTTTCAGGATTTTCAGGATTCAAAGTTGAGCAATGTTCAACTTTTGAAGCTGAGGTGGAAGCGTCAGCCAATCATATCCAGTTTACTTCGGGCTTTTTTGCTTTGTATGTCGGGGGCGGGAGATTCATGTGATTGGTTGTTGGTCGCGTTGCTTGCAAAAAATCCCCAAGCTTCAGATACGCCCACCTCCAAGATTTTTTTAACGCTGCTGTGTGGACGCTCCGTAATAGGCCGTATGCTGTTTAGCCTGACCTTGAATGATTCAGCGCAGTGTTCTGTGCAGGTTTTCTGTTTGCTTTTTCAACTCAAGGAGCTAAAAGACTGATTGAAAGTTGATTTGATTTGCATAATTTCTGATTGCTGATTCAATGTGAAGGAAAATTCACATTTGAGTTTATACAGTATATGTGTGCATATAATGCACCCTTTGGCCTAACCTGGGAGAGCCTTATGTTTACTGCCAACCTAAGGACGTCCAACATGTTAATAAAGAATGTATTGAAAAGTTATATCGCGGATTGTTGTATATTGGCTCAGCCAGGTTATAGAGAACCGCAGTGACGCGTCCTAAAACCCGGAAGTAAACTCCTTCCGGTTCCTTCGACAAAAACGCAATGAAATTTCTCCATAGGATTTTGGAAAATAGCTGGAAATAAGGTCTGTGGTTGGCACACATTTAAGAGACGGATCACGTTTTGTTCAGCCGGATAATCTCCACATATCTACCCTACTTTTATAATGTTCTAATCATAAATCTAATCGATAGATTTATGATCGATAGATTCATGATCGATAGATTTATGATTCGAAAATTATAAGAGATGTGGATATTATCCGGCTGAACAAAACGTGATCCGTCTCTTAAATGTGTGTCAACCACAGACCTTATTTCCAGCTATTTTCCAAAATCCTATGGAGAAATTGCATTGCGTTTTTGTCGAAGGAACCGGAAGAAGTTTAGTTCCGGGTTTTAGGACGCGTCACTGCGGTTCTCTATATGGGATGCCCAGTCTACTTACAGATGGGTCACTCATTTTGAAATATTACACTTTGTTTTCTTTTTCTTTAATTTATCATCCTCATGTAGAATGCTATCACGAAACACACATTTGGTTGTTTATAGCATAAAGAACATCTGATTTAATGAGAGGTAGGGAAATAATCATTTGAGGATAAGTATGTGTATATAAATATGTAATTTACAACAGCTGTAAGATGCTTGATAAGCTTGAAATGCACCTTGAAAATGCTTGAAAAGTGCTTGAATTTGACTTTGGAAAAGGTGTAAGAACCCTGAATACAAATGTATTGCACAATAGCTGTGCTTTATTTTTAACTGAGCTATGCCTGTGGCAAGCTATTAACAGGCATTACACTGTGTCTTGTCTTTTTCTTTTTTAGTGTAGTGGAGCCTCACTTTAGAGCGTTTACCGCGATCCATCTTTGGTGTTATGAAGTGACTGAGCTCGTGAACTGTCTACGGGAGGGCGGGGGGAGCCTCGCTGCGGGGCAACTGTAGACCTCTGTCGCCTGTTAGCGCAACTTACATGATGCCGTTTAAAAATATGAAGGGCAGTGCCGGACTTCAGCGTACCGAGCCGGTCGTCAACGGCCCGCTGACGACCGGCCGTTCTGTGATTCTCCAGAACACACAGATGGCCAGTCCGCCCTTACCCTGTATCCGTGGCGCAGACGGACCCGGTGGAATACAGGGTCTACCGCGCTTAGGAACCGTTAAGCAGAACCGAAATTGTGTATTTTGTATGGGTACCCGGTGCCCGGCATTTTCTTATCGGTTCTCATCTGGAACCGAGTTTCGGTTCCCAACCCTAGTCTTCACCCCCCTGCAGCAACTCTGTCCACCAGTTAAATGAAATAAAACAAATGTGTTGTGTTATATCAGCTGTACAATTTACCAAATATATGGTGTTCTTAGTTTCCATACCTTCTGTGTTTTATGAGCGACTTATCAAGTCTTGGCAAATGGCACAAAACATGATTAAACATGATAGTATATAAAACCATGCTCGTATCTATACAATCTATAGAAATGCAAAACGGTGTCAGTTTAGACGTAATTCTGTCCTTCTGCTTACCGCATCATTTATGAGAATACATTTCATAACATTAGTACTGTGGAGTCTATTTTTATATAACATTAGAAAGACTGATTCTTATTATTACATTATAAGCTTATTGTGCTCATTTATGTGCTGTGACTTTGGAATAAATAGACTCAATCACCCCCCCCCCAAGTTGTGATGGGGAGGACAGGAACAAAGGGAAAAGTTACATGAGGAAGTGTTTAGCTTGCAATATTGAAAGTAGCAAGGTCGAG